TAGCTGGTTCGGTTAAAATATTGGTAAGTTCATTTATCAGATCCTGATAGAAAATTAGGGGATCTTGAAGGGAGTTTGTATTTACGATTGATGTAATATACCTCTGAGATATTTCAGAGTTCAGAAATTCCTTGATTTCACTACCTAACTTTTCTGTCCACTTAACTCTTTTACCTGGGTGCTCAATCTTGACTGAGAGCCAGTTTGGTGTAGTGGTTAAGTGTGCGGACTCTAATCTGGGAGAACCGGGTTTGATTCCCCACTCCTCCACTTGCACCTGCTGATGTGACCTTGGGTCAGTCACAAGCTCTGGCACAGCTGTCCTTGAAAAAGAGCAGTTTGTGTCAGAGCTCTCTCAGCCCCACCTACCTCACAGGGTGTCTGTTGTGGGGAGGGGAAGGGAAAGGAGTTTGTAAGCCGCTCTGAGACTCCAAGTGAAGGGCGGGGTATAAATCCAATCTCTTCTCTTCTTCTTCTATAAAGCTTTAGGCTGCTCCAACTTGAGCGGAAGCATAATGTAATGGTAAATGGTCTCCTTCCGAATAGCGGAGCGCCTTAAAGTTATTTATTTTAGGGAGCAGGGAATTACAGACCAGCATGTAATCAATGGAACTAGCCCTATTTCCTACCATGTAAGTGAATTCCCCTGGAAAGTCACCATAAAAAGCACCGTTAAGGTTGACTTCTCTATCATAAAAGAAGTTACAATTATTTACACAGTACCCAAACAATAGTATTTAGGTATAAGGCAAATATAGGTTTTGTTGTAATGCGAAACAATGTAACTCATTCAACTTGTTATTTTATTGTTAAAGCAAGAAGGAAAATGTTTTTGTTGATATGGTAATAATATGTATGAATTAGTGTTTTAAAATAAAAATTTAATTAAAAAAAAAGAATATGAAGTTCCTGCCCAAGGAGGGTCTCTCCCTTTCTTTTGCTCATCAGGATATGCCTCTTGGAAGACAATGCTGAGCAGCCTGAATAGCCCAGGGCAGCCCAATGTTGGCGAAGCTTGGAAGCTAAGCAGGGTCGGCCCTGGTTAGTACTTGGATGGGAGACCACCGAGGAAGTCCAGGGTTGCTACGCAGAGGCAGGCCATGGCAAAGCACCTCTGAAGGTCTCCTGCCTTGGAAGCCCCATAGTCCTGGCTGGGGTCACCCTGAGTGGGCTGTGACTGGGTGACAGACAATTATTACTGCTTGCTGGAATATAGATAGCTAAAAACAAGACGGATGTCCATCTTGGCTGTTTTACATGCATGGGATTATTTGAATCAGTGGATCAGCTAAAGCTCCTAGAAGTCATCAACATAGGCCCCGGTCACATGGGCCGGATATCGCGAGGGGGAGGCGTGGCAAATTGCCCCGGTGCAGTTTGATCCGCGATTATGCGATCAGACAGGTCAGCGGCACACCATGGGTCCTTCTCTCGGCACCGGGGCATAACCGAGGGGTCGGAGGAGGAAGCCGCGTGCCAGCGCAATCACACCGCGGGAGTCTGGAGGCAGCCCGTGGCAAACCGTTTGCCAGTACTTTGGAGGTACTGCTTTTTTATCGCGGATTTTCGGCGGTAAACCACGGGTTGGCCACGGGTGCACTCCACTTCCCAGATGTGGGGGTGTGATCGCGCATGGATAATCTGCCCACAACCCGTGGCTCTCCCGCGGCAAATTCACCGTGTGACTGCCGTGTGGACATCTTGCTCCAAAGCAATACCCAAATACAAAAGCAGTGTAATGCCGTTCGTGAGGATTTTGGTTTTATATTATACTAGTAAATAATTAATTAGGGATAAATGTAAGTCAGTCTTAAAATGGGTATGTTGTAGATTTTAAGTTTGTCCGTTTTGGAACAGGTGGACCTTTTAGCAAAGGAACGGCTTAGTTATTTCTGACATATTTCTGGCTTGCCATTTTCGCTTTCCCATTTTGGTCTCTTCCTCAGGGGCTTTTGCCTTGCGGTGCCATAGCAGTGCCTTCATCGGGCCTGTTTCCAGAGATCCGATCGGCCATGAATTGTCATTAGGCATCTTCAGCAACTGCTCCTCCAGTGAAAATGCGTGCGCAGAGGCAATTCTGGTGCTCAGCACAGGTAAGCAAGGCTCTGATAGATGGGCCCAGGAAAAAGCTTCCAAACAACAGTTCAAATCCCAGGGTTCAAGAACCTGTGTGGAGAAAAATTCCCTGCAGTCCTAGAGGACATCCGAAGAAAAAAATTAGGGGTAAAAACAACCTTTCAAAATAACTGTCCCTAGTAAATGAGAGCACCCACAAAGAGAGTGGAAGAAAAGAAAAGAAAAACCAAACTGACCAAGGAAAAACCTCCAAAGGACATTTAGAAATCTAGTAAAGGGCCAAAAGATAACAAAATCAGTGTGTATAGACAAAAGTACACATCTTTGTTTTTATATGTTTTTATGGTTCTAGAATGTTGTACATCGCCTAGAGCCCCCACGGTTGTGGGGATTAGGCGATTCATAAATGTAATAAATAAATAAATTTAAAAATATATAAAAACTTTGTAGGGGCCCAAATCAAGCCTCATAAAATAATCAGTGACACATACTGGGGATATTAATATTGCCAATGTGCAGGGCTCTTTTTGTAGAAAAAGCCCAGCAGAAACTCATTAGGATAATAGGCCACACCCAACAGCAGATGCTCATTAGCATATTAGGCCACACCCTTGACAGCACAGCATATTAGCATATTAGGCCGCACTCCCATGTTACCAGAAGTGTGGTCATCCAGCCACACCCACCTTTTGCTTCTTATTCTGTTTACTTTGTTCTCAAAACCCAGGGCTTTTTTTGTAGCAGGAACTCCTTCGCATGTTAGGCCACACACCCCTAAGGTAGCCAATCCTAATGAGTTTGTGCTGTTGGGTGTGGCCTATTATGCTAATGAGTTCCTGCTGGGTGTGGCCAACTCAGGAGCCAGCTGGAACTCCGTTCCTTCACGTTCCTGCCCAAAAATAGCCCTGCCAATGTGTATCTTCCAATTCAGGTCACTGATACTGATACATAACGTTGGCCCGGATTCTACTTACACTCTTAGGATCTATATTGGAAAGTACATATTGGCAATATTACTACCTCCAGCATATGGGATTGCTTCCGACACAAGGCCAGATACCTTCGTGGCCCCACAAAGAAAAAATTGTGTTTGTATGTGTGTCCTTCAATTCCAGATCGGAACATTCCATGTTTGGTCCTATTTCAATATTTTACAGCCTTACGAGTGTAACAGGGGCTTTGTTGCATGTTGTCTTCTGTACTATTTGACCTCTGAAGAAGGCTCTTTTGGGCCGAAACACGTCAGGTTATATGAGGTTCTTTTTGTGCATTTGTCCACTTTATTTTATGAGGCTTTATTTGGGGGCCCACCAGAGGTTTTTATAGGTTTCTGAAATAAACACATGTGTATTTTTGCCTATACCTACTGATGTGTTTTAATTTTTGGCCCTTCACTAGTTTTCTGAACTTCCTTTGGAGGTTTTTGCTCAGGCCCGTAGCTACATTGAAGCATTTCGGGGCCCGCCCGCCCCCGACTTCCTGCCAAGGCCCCACAACTTGCCCACCTGCCAGCAGCCCCACAGGTGCCATCCCGGGCTGGCAGACCCAAACTGGCAGCGCAGGGTGGCCACGGCATGAAGCAGCACAAGGCAGCCAGGCGAGCGGGCTGGCAAGCGGGTGAGACGGGGCCAGGGAGCTGTGGGTTCTGTGGCTGACCCTGCAACTACGGAAATCCCTCCCCTTCTCCCTCCAGTGCAAGATTGCAGACCTCGCTCGCTTGCATGCGCCTGTGCCCTCATCACCCAAGGAAGCTGGCTGCCAAAGGAGAGAAAAACACAGCACTCCCTCAGCCTCCCCTCCTGGTGTAACAGGCCGGATTCATCCCCCGGAGGGGTTATTCTGGCCTAGCCCGGAGTAACCCCTGCCGGGCCAGGCCAGAGTAACCCCGTAGGTTAATCCAGACCGGAGGGGTTATTCTGGACGGCCCAGATTAACCCCCCCAGGCCAGATGTGTGCAGAGTTCTAAGACTGAAGTCAATCAGCTTTCTCATTTGACTTACCTGTCTCTGCTCTACCATTTCTCTTTCTTTCTTTCTTTCTTTCTTTCTTTCTTTCTTTCTTTCTTTCTTTCTTTCTCTTTCTTTCTTTCTTTCTTTCAACAACAAACAACAAACAAATACCTTTATTGGCATACTTCTTTCTTTCTTTCTTTCTTTCTTTCTCTCTTTCTCTCTTTCTCTCTTTCTCTCTTTCTCTCTTTCTCTCTTTCTCTCTTTCTCTCTTTCTCTCTTTCTCTCTACAACAAACAAATACCTTTATTGGCATTCATCTTTCTTTCTTTCTTTCTTTCTTTCTTTCTTTCTTTCTTTCTTTCTTTCTTTCTGCCTGCCTGCCTGCCTGCCTGCCTGCCTGCCTGCCTGCCTGCCTGCCTGCCTGCCTGCTTTCTTCTGTCTGCTCCCCTGTCCCGCTTTGCCTTTTTCTTCCCTCTTTCTGTCTCTCTGCCCTCCCTCCCTCTATGCTCTCCCCATCTTTCTTTCTTTCTAATCTAAAGTTGTGGGCAACCTTTTTTTAAAAAGGGGGGGGAAGGGAGAGTTGGAAGGGGTTGACCTCAGTGAACGTACCTCAATCAGATTGAGGACGTTTTTAGCAAAGGCCATTTTAGGAGTACCCTAATTAAGTTAATAAAAATGTACCTACCTATATACTTTAAGTTTTAAAAAATTGGCTCTCAAAAGAAATTTCAGTCGTCGTACTGTTGATATTTGGCTCTGTTGACTAATGAGATTAGATTCATACCCCGTTCTTCACTACCCAGAGGAATCTCAGATTGGCTGACAAGTTTCTCATGGACCTCAAACCCTCAGAAGCTGACACTGTGCTGGTTACACTGACATTTAACTTACCCCTCTATATTGGGGACTGTGAGTCCCAGCCAGGTTCAGATAGTTTGGTATAGGCAACTGGGTTACTTTGGCCTAGGTCAAACTAAGCCCGGGGTTACAGGTTGTTGTGTTGTGCAGTTAAAAAGAAGAAGTTAAAAAGAAGGAGATTGGATTCAGCTGACATTTAACTTACCACTCTAGCCAGGCGGGGTTTAGTATGGGTTACTCTGGCATGGCCCGGCAGGGGTAACTCCGGGCTAGGCCAGAATAACCCCTCCGGGGTTACTCTGGCCGGGGGGTGAATTCGGCCTGTTACACTGGGTTTTTCCTTCAGCTCCCGCCTCCTTAGTTCAGCCCGGTTGCACCAACGCACAGCGCACACAAGCCACCACCAGCAACAGAGCAGCCATCTCCGTCTCATCTGCTTGCCCACCTCTCCTCCTTTGGCTTGTCTCCCTGGGCAGGCTGCCACTTCCAAGACTGAGAAGTGTTGCAGCAGAAAGCCCCGCAGCGGGGCGGTGGGTGGGGGCGTGACCAAGGGAAAGTCACCGTGGAAGCACAAAGTCAGCCAGGAATAAAGAAATAAAGAACCTGGAGCAGGAGCCCGCCACTGTCGCCATAGTTCCCGGCACTCCACATAGCCAATGCGGTTGAGGGGGGGAAAGGAGAGGAGGAGGTGATCCTCCTCGGGTTACTGGGAGTCAGTGACTGACTTCCACTTACACCCACCCTCCACAATAGGGGAAATAATCCTGCTCCTGCCTGCTCCAACTGGCGATTGTGAGTTTATTTTATTTTATCAGTGCCCCCTGACTTATTTAAAGGCTCCCTGAATTAAAAATTCTTGGCTACGGGCCTGTTTTTGCTTGGTTGGCCTAGTAAAAGAGTTCCCTGGCCTCAATGCTCAAGGTAGCCTGATCCCATCATATCTCAGAAGGGTTGGTTGTGATTAGTATTTGGATGGGGGATCACCGAGGAAGCCTAGTATCCCTGTGGAGAAGCCAGCAACACAGGCCCGTAGCCAGGAATTTTTGGTTGGTGGGGCAGGAGCAGGGGTGTTGGGACAGGGGAGTGGGGAACTAAAGTCGATCACTAATTAGATTACCGGATCATCAAGCTAGCCTTTGGGGTGGGGTGGTGAGGCGTGAAGCAGGGATGTGGGTGGTGGGGCATGCCTCGCGACTGAGGGGGCATGGCCCCCAAATGACCCACCGTCGCTACGGGTCTGCCGTGACAGTAATTTCCACCCTGATATGAGAGCTGGAAAAGAGGAAGATCCTACCTATTGACTCACCAAAGGAAGCCACGGCCCTCAGTTTGCAAGACCCGAGCAAGGCGGTGAACAACAGGATGTTTTGGAGACCATAACTTCATAGGGTCACCGTGAGTCAGAAGCAACTTGACGGGACTTAAGACACCCAAATAGTAAGAGACCAAAATTCAAGTCTAGTAGAACCGTAAAGGCAGGGCTCTTTTCATAGCAGGAACTCCTTTGCCTCTTAGGCGACACACCCCTAATGAAGCCAATCCTCCAAGAGCTTACAGAGCTCTTCTTACAGGGGCTACTGTAAGCTCTTGGAGGATTGGCTACATTAGGGGTATACAGGGCTTTTTTTGTAGACAAAGTCCAACAGGAACTCATTAGCATATTAGGCCACACCCTGACAGCACAGCTCATTAGCATATTGGGCCACGCCCCCATGTTACCAGAAGTAACCTTTTGCTTCTTATTCTGTTTACCTTGTTTGTTGTCAAAACCCAGGGCTTTTTTTTGTAGCAGGAACTCCTTTGCATGTTAGGCCACACACCCCTATTGTAGCCAATCCTAATGAGTTTCTGGTGTAAGGTGTGGCCTATTATGCTAATGAGTTCCTGCTGGGTGTGGCCAACTCGGGAGCCAGCCGGAACTCCGTTCCTGTGCGTTCCTGCCCAAAAATAGCCCTGGGGGTGTATGAAAAGGCGTTCCCGCTACAAAAAGCGCCCTGCAAAGGCCAACAAGATTTTCAGGGTATAAACTTTTGAGAATCAACACTTCCTTCGTGAGATAGAAAGCCCTCATATCCCAGTCAAAAGGTGGGAGGTGTGTTGTAAAGAAGGGACTCGAGACGCAAAGGTACAATGTAAAACATCATCAGCTTGGTTAGAGCAGGGGAGAATTGCTTAGGGAGAGGAAATTGTCATCTGTAGTGAGATGTCACTAGTTAGATTGGCAATGTGAGATCTTTGGAACTCCTTGCTACTGCTTTGAGTTATTCTCAATATAATTTCCTTGACTTATTCCTGATTTTTTGGGAGCTTTAGGAGAAACGGCACTGTTAGTTGCTTACCGAGGCTGCGCCACTGAGAGACTTAAAACCGAGACAGGATCCTCCACCTCTGGCCATCAGCACCTCACAGTTCATTCCAGCGTGCGCTATTGCCGCAGTGACCTTTGCAATCGGGAGCCGATAGACCTTGACGACTTCAAAAGGCCCGATCAGGAGAATGGTAAGACCACCACCAAAGAAGGGGAGTATAAAATACATTATTTTTCCTTGCAGCAGAACAGGCGGCAGGATGTACAGGAAACTTTTCCCTCCCTTTCCCATGACACTGAAAACCAGGGGTGCCCATCAAAGTTAATTGGCAGTCAAAGTACTTCTTCACACTAAGATTGCCAAGTCTTACCAACGTAATAGCCGGGGAGTCCAGGGCTCTCTCTGGGAGTCCGTGCACACGCGCCACGGTGACGTAGCCCGGAACTGACATCATCACGCTGGGCACGTCGCCGGGCGACGCTCTAGCAACTGGCCTGAAAACTCTATGGTACCATAGAGTTTTCAGGGTGATTGCTAGAGCGTCGCCTGACGACGCGCCCAGCGTGATGATATCACTTCTGGGTTACATCATCACGATGAGATCGGGCGCGTGGCGCGCAGCCACCCCTCTCGCTCCTCACGCACATTGGCCCGATCTGGCCACTTCGGGGGTGGGGTTCCCCCCACTGGCCGGATCCAGACCGGCAGATTGGGGACCCTTTTAGTGGGGAATTTCCACCCCCCTGGGGGACTTGGCAGCCGTACTTCACACGGGGCCTGATTAACATGTGGAACTATCACAGCTGCTCGTTTGGATGGCCTTAAAAGGAGATTAGGCAAATTCGTAGAGGATGAGTCTATTAATGGCTCGTGATCATCACAATGGCACCCTGCCCTGGATGACCCGGGCCACCCTGATCTCGTCAGAACTCATCGGATCCTGTTTGGTCCTGGCTAGTACTTGGATGGGAGACCCCCAAGGAAGTCCAGGGTTGCTACGCAGAGGCAGGCAATGGCAAACCACCTCTGTTCCTCTCTTGCCTTGAAAACCCTGTGGAGCTGCCATACGTTGGCAGCAGTTTGACCACACTTTCCCCCATGAGTCACAAGTAGGGCTGCCAAGTGCCATCTTCACCCCCAGCGGTGGACTTTGGGGGGGGCGTTCCCGGAGGGGGCGGGGCATCCCCAATGTGATGATGTCACATTGGGGACGTCCCCACCCGACCACCCACTCTTCCAGCGCACCGACTTCCTGCAGTTAAAGGGGCCCCTTTAACTGCAGGGAGCCGGCATTTCCCCGTGCACCTGACTGTTCCACTGGCATTTCCATGCGCCCAATGAGATCCTCCTCTCTCTCAAGAGAGGGGTGGCGGTCGGTGTTGGGGCTTGGGGGCGGGCCTTCCCCCGGCAGTCAGCTGGCCAGCGGCGGGTAGACACCCCCAAAAAGCAGGGGACCCCTGCCAAACCAGGGGGGTTGGCAACCCTAGTCACAAGCAGTGTTCCCTGTAAGCTGAGCGAGTGTGAGCTAGCTCACAGTTTTTTAGCCTCCGGCTCACACACTTTTGTCTCAGCTCAAGAGGGAGGGCTCCAGAGCAAACTAATCTATGCAGCAGCCAAATTGCTTGCTCACAACTTTAACGCCAGTAGCTCACAAAGTAGAATTTTTGCTCACAAGACTCCACAGCTTAGAGGGAACTTTGGTCACAAGGGTTAAGGGGAACCTCCATGTTCAGGAGCAGTGTACCTCAGAATACCAGTTGCCAGGGAGGGGGATGACAGGGGAAGCTTCAGACTCTGTGCCCAGGCTTGTGGACTTTCGATTAAATGTTTTAATAAATAAAATAAAACCAACAGGCCCCTGACTCTTTTACTGAGGGCCTTTCAGAGCCGCAGGCTAAACAGAAATTTGACATGGGCAGCACTTCCTGGCATGGGAGATGAAACCTTGCAATCCCTGTTGAATTTCTGCCTGCCACACAGCTGTTCAAAACAGAGGTGTGCTGCGAGGGGCGGGTGAAGGGAAGCAGATTTCTGAAGGAGGGGGCACCCACTGCAATCCAGCCCCAGAGACCTTGTGAAGCAAGAAATATTCATTTTTAAAAAATTATTTTAGCATCTGAAGCAAACAGCTTCAACCGGTGCTATTCTGGCTTCAAACTAAACACCGACCAAGACATCCTAGACAGAGAGACGTGCGGAAGGGACCAGTCCCAGTGCTACCATGGCACCGGCTCCATAACAGCAGGTGAGGCCTGATTCCAAACTCAATCAGCAACCTTTTATCTCAATAATTTTTTTCTCAGTCCCAAGACTGTTGTGGATGTAGATGTATTAGCGTTGCCAGCTCTGGGTTGAGGGTAGGATTGCTTAGGGGTCATTTCGTAGAAAAAGAGCTAGGGGAACTCATTAGCATAACTCATTAGCATATGCCACACCCCCTGACATCAGGGGCCCGGCGGTGGACCTGCAAGGCCGTTGGGAGTGCAAGGAAGCCCCGCCAAGGCCCTCCCTGGCCCCAGGCAGGCAGGGGTGGGGAGAGGCGGGGAGGAAGCAACTTACCCTCCCTCTTCTCCTGCCTCCTCCTGGCTGAATGAGGGCCAGAAGCGGGGCGGCCGGAAGCAGGGGGCAGGGCTTTGTCATTTGCCCCGCCCCCCTGCACCTCACCCCGGGGAACTGCGTTCCCCCGCGGTCCCCCCCCCGAAATGACCTCTGGGGTTGCTAGTCCCCAGTTGGGGTCAGAGGATCTCCCCCAACAGCAACATGGAACAATGTGCCTACGTCACCTGGAAGTAATGCAGAAAAAGAAGAAGAAGAAGAGATTGGATTTATACCCCGCCCTTCACTACCCAAAGGTGTCTCAGAGCGGCTTACAAACTCCTTTCCCTTCCCCTCCCCACAACAAACACCTTGTGAGGTAGGTGGGGCTGAGAGAGCTCTTGACAGAAACTGCTCTTTTTCAAGAACAGCTCTTATCAGAATGATGGCTTGCCCAAGGTCATCCAGCCAGGTGCAAGTGGAGGAGTGGGGAATCAAATCGGGTTCTCCCAGATTAGAGTCCAGGCACTCAGGGGTCTTTTCCTAGAAAAAGAGCTGCAGGAGCTCATTAGCATACGGTATGATAATGAGCTACTAGGATATTAGCATAATAGCTCATTAGCATATGCAACGCCCCCTGACATCACCGGAAGTGATGTCAGAAGGGGAAGCAAAAGGGGGGGAGGCATCTTCAAAAGCCTCCCCTTCCCTTCCCCAGCCAGTGGGGGGGGGACGAAGACTAGAGTTGGGCTGCAGAAGGAGGAAAGAGTAGAGTAGAGAGAGAAGGAACGAAGGAATGAAAGAATGAAAGAAAGAGAAGAAAAGAAGGATGG